TCACCATCACCATCACCATCACCACCATCATCACCATCACCACCATCATCATCACCACCACCATCATCATCATCACCACTGTCACCATCACCATTATCATTGTCATCATCAACAGCAGCAACAGTGGCAAAAGCATTAAAGTGCCTACAGTGTCAGGCATGATGCCAGCCACATGGGTGACTGAGAGTCTTTATGTCACCCACACAGCATCCTGTAACCAGAGTTCCATTAGATGGAGAAATCTGGCTTGGAGTCCCTTGTCTGAGGCCCCCAGCAGGTGAGGGCTTTGGCTGGAGGCCACACCTGTCTGTTTGACCTCAAAGCCAGGACTCAATCCTAGGTGGAAGAGTATTACAGTGTCACGTGTACCCTGAAAGCTAGGAGGCTCTGATGAAGACAGATGCGAAGCCTGTTCTCCTGGTATCTTCTGTGTGACCATGGGCAGATTTATCAGCCTCTCTGAGCATTAGTTCGCATCCTTACCCGTTAAGGGAAGGTGGTGGACCAAATAATTATCAGATTCTTTCCATTGACCACAGCGCATCTCAGAATTTCCACCAGGTGGCAGCAGAGGTCTTGCCTGGGCACCAAGACCTTGGTGGGCAGGAGACTGGCAGAGCATCAGCCTTAGAGGTCACCTTCACGGGTCTAGACAACAGGGAAGCAGCCGCAACAAACATCTGCAGGGGCCTGGCTCTGGGAGCCTCTGGGCTGTGTGATGTGGGGCTGTAGGAGACCCACCTTGACCCTGGGAGCCTGTTTCCTACAGGAGAGCCCAACCAGGGACACAGGAAAGCCGTGAGAAACCAGTGGTGTTTCTCAACAATGAGCATTTTTTAGTTTCATTTGCTTGTTTGCCAAGTCATTTGGGAAAGGCTGCAGGTCGGCGCTGAGCTGGGCCAGGCCCTGGTGGGAGCTCCTCCCAGACACAGTGACGTCAGCCCGGTAGGGTCCCAGAGGGCCAGGCTCTTCCTAGGAAGACTGGCAGGCACTTAGCGTCTTCCTGCCTGCCAGTCACGGAGGCCTGGGGGGAACAGGGAGGGGCCCTGGCAGGCAGGTGCCATGGGGACTTGTGCTCCCTTGTCAGAAAAAAAAAAAGGGCAGCCAGGGAGCCGCGGAGGTTGGGGACAGGACACGCTCCAAGGGCAGACAACCTTCTCTGCAGGGTAGCACCTATCCCCCAAAGGTGGATAGGTGGGAGTGGGCACTAGGGGGAGCCCCCCTCAGGCTGGGGGTGCAGAGAAGGGGTGGTTTGGCCAGAGCGGAAGCTGCCCTGAGGCCTTCCTCAGTGTTAGCGCTGCCGGCTGACAGCAGGGATCCCCGCGACTGGGATTTCCCCAAGACCCCGGCCAAGGACTGAGCTTGCACAGGAGGCAGGCAGGCCCCAACCAGCGTGCAGCTGCCATCATTAGCAGAGCAGAACAAAAGATGAATGTACCCGTGCACACAGCACACACAACCCAGCGTACGTGCACAGAATGTGAGCGTGGGCATACACACGCACACAAACAACACACAGGAGCCTGTGCCGTACAGCACCTGTGCACATGCCCATGCACACCCCTACGATGGGCCCAGCCCAGCTCGGGTAGTCCCTGTCTTGAAAAACACAGCCACGCACACTCTGCCCTCCTGCTTCTCCACCTTGAGGAAAAATCTCTGCCTCACACTCAAGGGCACCTCAAGGGCACCAGGAAGCAGGGCGGTGAGTAGCAGGGTGGCTCCCTGTTCTCTGCCTGAGCCTAGGAGCACCTTGCCTGGCCGCCCCCAGGAGCGGGCAACGGGTTTAAAAGTGTCTGCCTCTGAGCGCAACTTTGCAAAACGAGTCAGTGGCTTCTGCCTGTGGCCTCTGCCTGCGGCTTCCACAGCATTTCAGACTGAAGGGGTGGGGAGCACCCTCGAGGGAGGGAATCAGACCAGGCGGGAAGACCAGATGTCCCAGACTCCATCTGCAGTCTGCAGGGAGCCGGGGGTGCCATGGTGGCCCCGCGATCTTCCAGATGGTGGTGAGAGGAACGGCCATTCTTGGAGGCACTCCAGGCTTATGGCTGTCACCAGCAAGAGTGGCCAAATTTGGGGGGTGTTAGTGTT